CGCCCGGCGTCAGCCTGAGACCTCTGTCAGGGGGTCTGGAGATTCCACAGAGGAGGGTGAGTGCTCAAATGCTGAGTATATGTACAATGATGATGTTCAGGCCTTGCAGAAGCCTGGGGCCAGGGATACTAACCCTGCAGGTGGCAACACCTGTATGCCCCAGAAACCTGCACAACCTGCTTCTGTGGAAATATCTGGGCCCCCCGCCGCCCTCCATGGTGACAGGGAGACCATCCCCGCCGGTACTATGGCGTGTACCGGTGATCCCATGGAGGGGTCCTTCCCTTGCTCCCTTCCCCCTCCCTCCCTTACCTGCCTTCCCTCTGACCTTCCTCTCCGTGTGGTTGCGTCCCCTGGTACCTCTGCCTCCTGTCCTCAGGCGGCTGCTGGGCAGGATGGCACTGGATGGAGCAGTCTGGAGCAGGGTGATGGCCCTCCTTTTCCCTCTGCTCCCTTGGAGCAAGCTCGACTGCTCTTCCCTACCAGCAAGTCTCCTCCCCTGTTTGTCCCCCAGTCTGTTTCCCTGGATGTGTCCAAGTTTGTCTTCCAGTCTGTTCCCCCTGCTTCCCTATGTGTTCCCCTTATGTCTGAATGTGTAACCAGTCCCCCTTTTGTTCCTGTTGTTCCTGGTGCCACGGGTGCCGCTGGCGCTATGGAAGACAGGACTGCAGGGGACTCCCATCATCCTCAGACAGCAGTCCATACTGAGGAAACCGCCAGTGGAGGTAAGAAAAGTATGACTAACATTGTGTTTGACTCCACTGGTGGTTTAGGGATGGCTGAGGAGGATGGGAGTATGGATGTAAATGTAATGATGGGACCTATTGGCCTTAGTAAAAAGGTCCACAGCCAGCCTGTTTGTATTAATGATGTTGCCCCTGCCCCTGGTGTTGTTGCCCCTGCCCCTGGTGTTGTTGCCCCTGCCCCTGGTGTTGTTGCCCCTGCCCCTGGCGTTGTTACCCCTGCCCCTGGTGTTGTTGCCCCTGCCCCCGGTACTATTGCCCCTGGTGTTGTTGCCCCTGCCCCTGGTGTTGTTGCCCCTGCCTCTGGTTATGTTGCCCCCGCCCCGGTACTATTGCCCCTGCCCCCGGTACTATTGCCCCTGCCCCTGGTACTGTTTCCCCTGCCCCTGGTTATGTTGCCCCCGCCTCAGGTTATGTTGCCCCTGCCCCTGGTTCACTGGAGTTAGTTGGTACACAGGTGGCGGGCACGAGCACGGGCACAGGCACCCTGACAAAGGGTGCCGCGGTTATAAATAGTTTAGACGCACAAGCAGGTACACGGGTTCCCCTTAGGCACTCCCAGGTTGTCACCCAGGGTTCTGGTGTGACCGAGGCCTCTGGTTCAGCGAGGGGAGTCCGTCCGAATCATTCCCAGACGGCGGGTCCCGGTGCGGGCCCACCTCGCCTCTCTGCGGACGGGCCTGCTACGCGTCCTCAGGTTTCCTTTGGGAACAGGAGGAACGTGGTACGGCTCATCTGTGGGGGTGAGACCCAGGTGCCTGACAGACGGTGGCTGGTGACCCGGCTAAAGGATATGGGATTTGCGCCCGTGGACCTGTACGCGCTCATCCATGCCTCGGGCACCCGGGAGTTCGACGTCTCCTTTATGACGTCGCAGCTCCTGGATCGCTTCTGGGCTGGGTGGGAAGCGGCCAGGTCTGCACAGGGTACAAAGTGGGCAGGATTCACCGCTGTGGCCATTTCTCGCCAGGGTCTTAAGAAGGTCACTTTCCTGGTGAGAAATGAATCCATCCCCATAGCAGACATCCTTGTTTGGACTAAGAGGTTTGGGGATGTTAAATCCCCCCCCTGTTAAGATCTTAGATGAGGATGGGATTTGGACAGGCGGATGGACTGTTTCAGTGTTGCTGCGGGAGATTCGAGGTGTCACACAGCATATGCCTAATAGTTTTTTCATCGGGGCTGACCGGGTATCCTGTTTTTACCCTGGTCAGCCCAGGGTATGTCACAAGTGCGGATCGTACAGGCATTACAGCAATGCCTGTACGGTCCTCAAATGCACTATGTGCGGCGCTGTGGGGCACCTCCGGGACAGCTGCAGGGAGATCCGGTGTCATCTGTGTTCAGAGATGGGTCACACGTACCGCAAGCCCAGCACAATGTAGAGTCCATCTGGAGTCAGGAGCCGGTGGAGATGGACTCTGCTGGGTTAGGGGTTCAGGTAGCATCGTCATCTACAAGGCCCATCTCTGGCACAAGGGTTTCCCTGCCTCAGCAACAACCCATCCTCCCCTCGGTCTCTGTAACATCTCAGGACCCTGGGAAGGCCACAAGTTCACGTCCCCTCACGAAAAGTGTACGTAGAGAACGCACTACCTCCACAGCCATTATGGCTCCCCCTAGACCCCCTCCCCCTAGGCCCCCCCCTCCTAAATTCTCCACGGTGAAGGTTACCCCCACTGAAAAGTCCCCAGATGCACGTCCCTTAGATGCACAGTCCCTAGAGTGGAGCACAGTGAAAGGTAAGAAACCCCCCCCCTCCAAGACCTCGACGCTGCCCTCACCCCGGAAGATCGCCATACCCCCTGCGGCGAAACCCCCGAAACGCCACTTATAAGGGTGGTGTGGCACGGGCGTCATCCTCCTCTTCGGGCTTGCAGGAGGCCCCGGTGCCCGTATCTAACAGGTACGAGGCACTGTCCTCCAGCTGGGCCGACTGTGAGTACGAGGAGGAGATGGCGAACCTCCCCGAGGTGGGACAGGAGGTGCTTCTGAGAGACGACGGGCCACTGTATCCCGGAGTCTCAGTGAAGAGGTTCCTCGGTTCCGACACGGAGGAGGAGGGGTACCGCAGAAGGAAGGGAAAGTCTCCTTATACTTAATGCCCTTATGGCGACTTTTCCTGTACTCTCTGTGGCTACAGTGAATGTAAACAGCATTAAGTCCAGCAGGGCCCGCTTTTTGGTTTACGACCACCTCAGACGGGCTCCGTACAATGTCATCTTGGTACAGGAGACCCGGCTGGAAACCCTCGCGGCCCTGCACGCTGCAAAGCGGGACTGGAGATGGGGCCCTCCTACTTCTCTCTAGCCACAGAGAGATATGGGGGAATCGCCATCCTATTTAAGGACGTTGATGTTAGCATCAACAGGGTTATTGAGTTGCAAAAAGGACGGTGTGTGGTTTTAGATGTCTCAATGGGCAGGCAACCTTTCAGGATAATTAATATCTATGGCCTCCAATATAAGTGGGAGAGGAAGCGCCTGTTTATTGAGATAGAGCCTTACCTTTATACATCCCAGCAAATCCTGTTTGGCCGTGACTTTAACACCATAACTAGGCCTCAAGACAGGAGAGACGCCACTCAGAGGCTGGGGTATGACTCCTATTTTTTAAATAAGATGGTTAGTCAGGCTGGATTGGTCGATGTGTACCTTCATCACACTCCCAATCCCACGGGTGGGTACACTTATCACAGAGATAGCTGTCAGAGTAGGATAGATAGGTTTTTCTTTAAGGAGAATTTCCCGGTGGCGGCACCCGTGCTTACACCGGTGGAGTTCTCCGACCATCACATTTTGTCTTGCGAGTTGAACGTCTATAGTACCCCACCTAAGGGTAGAGGGATCTGGCGGCTAAATTCAGACCTCCTGGTGGAACAGAGGGTTCAGCAAGCTGTGACGAGACCAATCTCGCCACATTGCATTGGAGAAGCCTGGTTGCTCGCCTGCTGCCTTTGGACTATGGCCCCCTTTTAAAAGACTTTATTTTCGCCTGCAGAAAAGCTGTATTCGTGCTTTTCTGCCTGGGGTTCGGTAGATTTGTTTGAATGTGTTATACCCCAGATAGGAATCCCATGGAGCCCATTCGTATGAAACTGACTGTAAAGACTTTAGCTCCATGGCGATTAAACTGTATTCGTGTGGTCTAAGCGCCATTCACTTAATAATGTGCGCTCGGACCTGAGCTATCTGGGGATATGTTACATGTCTGTGTTTTATGTAATAAATGTGACTTTATGTATTTTAAAGTGTTTTGTGTCTCTTTGCAACCATGTGCTTAATGGAGTCTTGTGTCTGTCCTGGGGGATAATTGAATTACTTATCTCCAGGATAGAAGACTCTGAAACTGGTTTGGGCCAGAAAGCCATGCTTCATTTAGTCACAAAGGACTTTTTACTAACTTTTGAACCCCTGGTCTGATTCATGTCATTTTTGAATATGTTGTTCCCCTGAATGGATTGATTGTGAATATGTAATTTTATGTGAATGTGATGTATGGTTTTGGAGTTATGAAAGTTGGGTAGAAAGTATGTTTTAACTGTTTGTATAATTGAGTTTCCTCTCAGGATAAGGGGAGGGAATATGTAGGATGTAACTGTGATATGATTGGTTGTTTTATCCCTCCCTGTGGGTGGTCCTGTATTTGAAACACTGTAATAAAAACCAGGCTGGGTGTGCCAGCACCTCAGACCACTGCTTGACCCTCAACACGGAGCTCTGTCTCGTCTTTGGGGGATTTACTGTATGCTGCTAAGGACTGATTGCCAGGAGTGTAAGCCGCTTGGGAGCTTTTCCTGTTCGTCTGGTAGCAGCAATTCGTATGGTTCCTGTTCGTGTATTTGGAGTGCTACCTTGGTAGCATTCCCTTGTATGCAGTTAGTTTGGAGCATTCCTTGTATGCAGTTCGAGAGTTTGGAGCATTCACTTGTATGCAGTTCGAGTGTTTGGACCATTCCCTTGTATGCAGTTCGAGTGTTTGGAGCATTCCCTTGTATGCCGTTCGGGAGTTTGGAGCATTCACTTGTATTCAGTTCATGAGTTTTGGTGATTCTACAGTAGCTGTGCCTGTCTCTGAAAGGGGGATTATCGTCTAAGCGGTTTTTTCCCCTTTTGTGCAAAACGGTCCGTTACACAAGCCTTCATGGAATTCTTTCGCGATCAGATGACATTGGCCGACTTAGGCCAAACGAAGTCTGAGTGGTGGGAGATGGTGAAGGCCAGAACTCAACGGCTGTTTCGCAATCTCGCCCGGAACATGCAGTCCTCCAGGTACAAGATGTATCTGGGCTTGCTTGGGAGGTTAGACATCCTGATCTCGCAGGGAGGTGACCCTGAGGACATTGCGGCAGTTAAAAACCTGATGAGGAGTTATCAGTATGACAGGTACGCCTCCCTTGTAAAAGAGAGGGATCATGGGTCATACCGCTCGCCCGATCCTTATCTTAGCTGCAAGCGGAAGGAAGGTACCAAGTCCATCCCTAGTCTGCGGGGCACCGACGGGACCCTAGAGGAGTCTCCTCGCGGGATTCTGAAGGTGGTCCGCGACTACTATATTGAGCTCCTCGGAAAGGGCAGCCCCCAATGTAGCGAGGAGGGAACCTCCCACGGGAGAAGGGTGGATGACTTCTTGAGCGAGCTCACGCTCCCTGAGCATAGCGACCTCTCTTTTGACGAGTTGGTCAGCAAGATCACCATAGAAGAGGTCACAGAGAGTATCCAACAGCAGAACAAGTGTAAGTCGCCAGGTCCTGATGGTCTGACGGCCGAGTTTTACCAACAGTTCTGCGACCTCTTGGCCCCTCATCTGACCGAGGTGTTTAATGAGAGCTTGGCTAAAGGATTATTGCCACCCTCGATGAGGACTTCTGCCCTGATCTTGCTGTCCAAGCCGAACGTGCTCGACACAGCGGATGTGGGGAACTGGCGCCCCATATCCCTGTTAAATGTCGACAGGAAGGTCCTGGCAAAGATTTTGATGAAACGAGTACAGGGCCTAGCGAGGCGTGTCCTATCCACCTCCCAGTACTGTTCAATCGAGGGCAGAACTGTCTTTGATGCCGTTTTCGAAGTCAGGGAAGCCCTCGAGAAGTGCAGGGACGGAGAAAGGGGATATACCTTCTGGCACTTGATCAGTCCAAAGCTTTTGATCGAGTAGATCACCGTTATCTGTGGTCAGTCTTGCGGAAGTATGGCTTGCCGGGAAAATTCGTCAATTGGATAATCACCTTGTACAGAGGGGCCGAAAGCTTCGCTCTTGTGAACGGGTGGAGGGGCAGGACGTTTAGGATCCGATCCGGGGTCAGGCAAGGCTGTCCTCTCAGCCCACTCTTGTACGTGTTTGCAGTCGATCCCTTCATCCGAAGGGTCGAGGCAGGCACATTACAGGGAGTGGCCAGGGCTCCGGAGAGGCCTTTACGGGTTGTTACCTACGCTGATGACATCTCCATAGTGGTCTCCAATACTCGGGAGGCCACGGAGGTGGATGATTTAATCCTAGCGTATTCTGCCGCTTCAGCCTCTCGTGTCAACAGGGACAAGAGCGTAGTTTTCTGGTGCGGGAAGGAAGGGGACCAGTTCCCTCTTCCAGACGGTTTCCCGAGGGCCCAGCCTGAAATTAAGATCTTGGGGGTGGTGTTCGGACCAGGGGATCTGGCTCTCAGGAACTGGACCGAACGGCTTGCCATAGCTTCTAGCAAGGTGGAGGAGAGCCACAGGTGGAAACTGACGTTCAGAGAACGGGTGAACCTAATCAAAACCTATGTTCTGACCGTATTCGGCTACGTCAGTAACATCTTCCTTTTGCCCAGGTCCCTCCACGCTCGGATGTTTGCGCTGTTCTTCCGCATGTTGTGGGGGAACAGGCTGAACCTCATCAAAAGAGAGGTCACTTACCTGGCCAGAAAGGACGGGGGTCTGGCCATGGTCAACCCCATCGTCTTCTTTACTAACACCTTCCTGAAAAGGAATTTCGGGGCTCTCCTGAAGGACGAGCAGCCTGGCTGGGTATGTATATTCTGGGAGTGGGTCACACCTTTCCTGGTGGACTGGTTTCAGGGTGGGAGGGTGAAGAGCATGAGAGTTCGGCATTCTAGCTATCTTCCGTCTTCGGTCATCGAGGGAGTGGGAATTCTGCGCAGGTGGAACGTCACGGTGGAGGAGGTTCGGGACACTCCCAAGAAGCTTCTCGACGGGAGGGTCCTGGCCACCCACTTTGGCATTCAGCTTGCTTTGAAGGACTGCCCGCCAAGTACTCTCGCCTCGGGGTTGAAAAACATCAACTCCAGGCGCCTTCCGGAGAAATACCGAGACGTGGCGTTTCTCTCCTTCCACGGTAGACTTTACGTTCGAGGGAACTTGAAGTACAGGAACATAACGGATCGTGGTTGTCCTCGGGTGGAATGTTCCGGGGAAGTGGAGTCCATGGACCACTTCCTCCTCGAGTGCCCCTTTAACGTACAGGTCTACAAAGAGGTCTCAGCCGCCTTAGGCATCCCCTGCTTATCCCGCTGGACTTATGCGGAGTGGGCGTACGGGACGTCCAACTCAAGGGGGAGGGCTTTTGATTTGGGCACTCTTTATGTAGTCAGTTCAGTGGTTAAGTATTTCACTTGGATGGCAAGGTGTCAGGTTTCCCTTCAACGTAAAGACCTTTCCTGTCAGGTGGTGGTAGCAGACATTCTGAGGGCGGTTCGTGGGATCTATACCACCGAAAGGGCCTCTATGGATCCCACCATTTGGCAGCGTTTGTGGCGAAATCTCAAGGTCCACCCGCCTTGAACCGCTCCATGGGCGCCCTTGTCTTGGTGAAGGGAATTCCAAATCTGTCTTCACCTTTCCCCCGTAGATTTTGAACTGGTTTTTCTTTTTTATGGAAGGCTGCCACCTTTAGCAGACGAGTACCTTCCTCTGCGTCTAGGTAGTGCAGTGTAGTTAGGTTATGGTTATGCACAGGTTATTTTTGGTATTGTTTGGGTTAGGGTGGGTTTCTGGTGTATGGACAAATTGAAAAATTTACTTTGGGTGGGGAAAAAAAAAAAAAAACCCACTGGGTTTCTTTATGGACGGAGGGATGGACTCCTTAAGGGTGGTGTACAAACTGGATTTCATGTGGGTGGTGGGTCTATGGACAAAATTTTGATTTCATGTGGGTGGTGGGTTTGGATGTGATGAACTGAGAAAAGGACTCCATTTGGGTGGTGGGTTTGGGGGATGGACGGAGGGATAGACTCCATGAGGGTGGTGGGTTTTATGAATTGAAAATGGACTCCATTTGGGTGGTGGGTTTGGGTTTAAAGTTTGGGTTTAAAGTGTAGGTGGTGGGTTGGTGTTGATGGACGGAGGGATGGACTCCATGTGGTTGGTGGGTTTTATGAACTGAGAAAAGGACTCCATGTGGTTAATGGGTTTGTTTATGTTTATGTGTGTATTTTATTTCACGCTTGGTTTATGTTTGTGTTTAGCTGGCTGTGGACTCGAGGTCAATTGGGTCCCCCCTTGTCCCCCCCTTGTTATGTAAGAGCTCCTTCAGGAGCATTTCAGCCTTTTTTCTCCCTCCCCAAGGCTCCATGAAGTAATGGAGCCCCCCGCCTTTTAATTTATCCCCTTATGATTTAGTTCCCCCCCTTTTCTGTTAATCCCTCTCCCTGTTATTCCCAGTTATTTAATTTGGTATAAGTTTACTCCCCTATTAGTGCCCCTTCCTGAGTTTTTATTTCGGTATTTATGTTTAATTTTGGGGTATTTATGTTTCATTTGGTATTATGTTTGAATTGGGCATTATTTCAGTTGATTGTTTATTATTGTTATTTTGTTATTTATTTTGTTATTCTGTTTAATTTTGGAAGCATTTTACAAACTAAATAAAATAAAATACTGTCTCCCCCTGGTACATTAGGCTGCTGCTGGGGAGAGGGGGTAACACACTCCTCTCCCATACATACTTCCAGCTGCGGGGGAGGGAGACTGACTGTCTCTGCTCCCAATACAGAGTCCTGCTGCTGGGGAAAGGAGACTGGGCTCTCTATTCCCCGTAGGACACTCTGCCGCTGGGGAATGGAGACTGGGCTCCCAATTCCCAATAATTCGTACTGCCGCTGGGGAATGGAGACTGGGCTCCCAATTCCCAATAATCCGTACTGCCGCTGGGGAATGGAGACTGGGCTCCCAATTCCCAAAAAATCATACTGCCGCTGGGGATCTGAGCTGACCGCCCAGCATCCCTGTAGCTCACCCTGCCACTGGGGAGGGAGGACGCTGCTCTCCTCTCCCTGCAAGGTACACTGCTGCTGGGAGATAGGACCATTTGTCTCTGCCCCCTGTAACTCAGCCTGCCGCTGGGGAATGGAGCTTGGGCTCCCAATTCCCTGCAATATCTCCCGCTGGGGAATGGAGCTGGGGCTCCCAATTCCCTGCAATATCTCCCGCTGGTGAATGGAGCTCGGGCTCCCAATTCCCTGCAATACCGGTGGAGAGACCTCGGTCCCATCTCCACCCGCCACCGGGGGTTCTTCCCAGTAATCCTCCGCAATATCTACCCAGCTGAATGGGTCTGGATCTGGGTCTCTGCTTCCCTGCTGAGCCTTCTCACTGGAGTGGAACAGATCTTGGTAGCCCTGCTCCAGCTCCATCTCTCGGGTCACCAGGTGGACCAGGTCTTGCTCAATTTTGTGAGTGTCGTCCGAGTCATACCTGCTCTCCCTCCACTCCAAGAGATCACTGAACCGGGCTTGTGCAGGGCTCCCAAACTCAGGCTCTGCAAAAGACTCCCATAACAAGCCGGGACCATCAAACTCCTCTCCCTCTGGCTTGTCATGCTCGGCTGTCCAGGGCAGGTACTGTGCCCCATACCACCAGAGCGCCTGGTAGGCATCTTCCAGCCAAATCTCCTCCAATTCCTTCACCCATTCATCCAGGGGCTGCTCTCCCAGAAAGGACATCCGCAGGGCTACTTGCTTCTGCAGTCGCTGGTCTTCCTTGGGGAGTCTCTCGCCCCACTGGTACTCCACAATACCCAGTTCCTGGTACCAGATTCTTTTGCGCAGTGCATCTCGGTCATCCATGACACCCTCATCACCTTTTGACTGTAGGAACGATCCCGCCGCTTGCTACCGATTGTAACGGACCGTTTTGCACACTAGGGGTAAAAAACGTTTAGGCGATCGTCCCCTTTCCGAGATGCAGGCACAGCTACTGTAGAACACCAAGCTCACGAACCGCCAATAAGGGAATGCTCCAAACTCCCAAACGGCATACAATATAGCACTCCAAACACACGAACTGGAACCATACGAATCGCTGCTAGCAGACGAATAGGAAAAGCATCCAAGCGGCTTACACTCCTTGCAATCAGTCTCTATCAGCATTCAGTAAATGCCCCCAAAGACGAGACAAGGCTCCGTGTTGAGGGTCAAGCAGTGGTCTGTTTAATGTTGGCTACCTGCCCAGTATTTATGCAGGTCTCCCACCTGGTGGACACTCCCCTAGGGGACCAAATGGGAGATTGTGACAAAAGACAGACAAGTAGACAAATAGGACACACAGTCACATTATATTCCCACAATGCAACCTGGCTTCCTCCCCTCTGCCCTGGACATAATTGAGAAGTAATTCAATTATCTCCCAGGACAAAGGCAAAATCGCCATTATGCACGTGGGGATACTAACACTATTACTATTAAAATATACCATGTAAGACACATAACATTTAAACCATACATTTAACCTATCCCCAGATAGCTCAGGTCTGAGCGCACATTATTAAGCGAATGGCGCTCAGACCACACGAATACAGTTTAATCGCCATGGAGCCAAAGTCTTTACAAAGTCAGTTCTCATACGAATGGGCTCCATGGGATTCCTATCTGGGGTACAACATAGTCAGGTAAAACTCCCGAACACCGGGCCGTTCGTGCACTCCTGCCGAACAAGAAGGGAGGTCGGCGGCTTCAGCGGTGTTTGCACCAAACTGTGTCCGTTTTTAGTTCCATGAGTTAGGCGTCGAATACCGCTGTGCGTTCGCATGTTTAAAAAGGCCGCGACCTCGTGTTCGGTATACGAATGGCGGCCACCCAGTAATTGTCAATTAACCGCAGCTTCTGGGAGGCTATTTGCCGGCACACTCCAGCTCCCAGGTGGTCCAGTCATTCGTGCAGTTGTTCGGTAGATTGAATCTACCGAACACCGGGCAGAAAAGCACAAATAAGTCTTTTCTGCAGGGGAAACAAAGTCTTTTAACATGGGGACCATAATCCAAAGGCAGCAGGCGAGCAACCAGGCTTCTCCAATGCAATGTGGCGAGATTGCTCTCGTCACACTATACTTGCTATAATCACTGGCTATACTGCTCTTTGGATTGCTATACAGCTATAGTCTCTTGGAGGAGAGGTCTTCCTACTGGGAGCTGGATCCAGGTGTTGGTCCAGGGTGGGAAGGGATGGCGAGACCCTAGTCAAGCTGCAGTGGGTAAGGGGACTATGGTGCTTATGATGTCTGGTGCTTATAGTACTAGGAAGTTCCATTCGGTCCGCCACAAAAAGTGTTAAATATAAGAGTAACTATACTTATGTAACTATAGGAAAACAATAACATTTAAGCAGAGTGTCAAGAATTGGAGCTTGTTTAATATGACATCTCTTTACGTTATATAAGTGTAGATTAAAATCAATGTCCTTTACTGGAGTGAAATGTAATGGAATTTGTTTAAAAAGACTCAATTGTAAGTAATATTCCTGTAGATCAAAATGAAAATCCATCAAACAGTAGCTACTATAACTCAGCTTTATGTTACATATATATGTGAAAGGATTATTAATGAAGAAGGTTTCATTTTGTTTAATATGTCAAAACCTTCAAGTTAAAGAACTGTGATATTAGTCTCCTAATAGGTTTGAAGCTGCTGTGTATTGCCTGTGAAAGAATCAGAGAGCCAATGTTTACAAGCTAAAAGCAAAAGAGAAAAAAAGGGAGTCATACTACAATAAGCAATGAAGCAAAACAGTGCATTT